CTCGAACCCACGGATCAAAACGCCTGGGGCCTCCGGCCTCGGCGGATGAACTGGCCCACATTGTAATGCAGCCGTGAGTTGATGTTTGACTCGAAGAGGATATTAGCTGATCCCCTGTCTGCTGTCCTGATGCTTGTAGATCGTATCGCGTGCAGGTCAAGGCAGCTTTTGGCCTTTCCTGGCTTGGCCAGATTACATGACCTGCATGGGCCAGGCAGAGTATAGTATCGGGTCTTGGTGGCTACGCCGCTACGCCACTTCCGATTCCCCGTTCCAGGCGGGCTACTCCGTCACCCCCGATGCGCCATCAAATCCAGGGCAGGCGCTTTGGATCGGACACGACCACCTGTCGGCACTCTGCAGGAAACATGGCGGCATATGGCGGCATTTAGAGTCCAGTTGCAGGTGTCATGGACGGGAGATGTGTTGCAGCGAGGCTGCATGCTACAGAGATGAACCGGTTGTCGCTTTTGGGGACTTGAATTTGCAGCACTGGCAGGTTACCATATCAGGCCGACCATTTTCTGCTGGGTGCCTTGGCAAGTCCGAGATGCCGCAATTCCAAGGGTCGGGTGGATCTGCCTCGATGCTCTCTTGTCTTTGTTTGGAAGGTGCTGGTCCAGCACGCGGGCAAGGCACGAACGCTGCTGATGCAAATTGCAAGCTGTAGGCCCATCCCAGATGCTGTAAGGAGCCAAAGTTGCTTAATTGGCAGCGTCAGCGAGGCCTTCCGATGATTTCCGAGCTTGCAATCTCAACTCTAAGACATGTTTGCGCATGAACTCAACAATGGGTGCTTTCGCCGTTCCAGACCTTGGTATCTTCGCGTGCGATGGCTGGATGGTCATCAGCAATGCGTCGGCTAGAGAGGCCTGCAACAAGAAGAGTCTACGCACATGAGCCTGCATTTACGCGAGGTTTAGGGTTGGGTGTAGGGTTTAAAGTGCAATTTAAAGTTAAACAAAAACGGAACACGCCCTACGTTAGGGTTGCGTAGGGCTTGTGTAAGATCCCGGCCCTCTCTGTGACCTCTGGCCGCCCCCCAGCAGTCCCCCACCCTCCAGCTGC